AACAAATTCTGAATACTAATTTGAGTAACTATTCTGTTATAGTTTCCTGCAAGGTAGGAAACTGCAGGTCATGACTTGGACTTGAGTCAAACTTGAGTCACATTTTTGATAAAATGGACTCTGCTTAGGACTTGAGACTTGGGACTTGACTTGGACTTGACTCTGTGACTTGAAGACTTGATGCTTCTCAATAAAAAAGACAGTCGATACATGCAGTGTTTAATTTTACACAAACAAACTGGAACATGTCCCTCTCACTTCTCTGTTTGTTACTATGGCGACAGTAACTGAAGTACTGTGATACTGGATCATCAAATGTTTTATAATAATATACAGTACAATACAGTAAAACAGAGGGAACTACTTAGACCATGATGCTTTGTTTCATTTCAGTGCAGAGTACAGAAATAAAATAAGTGTTGCAAAAATACAAACTGTATTTGGGTTAGAGACTTGATTAGAGAGCTTAGAGAAATGACTTGAAGCTCAGATCAGAGGACTTGGACTCGACTTGGACTTGGAGTAAAAACCTTGAAACACCTCTGACAGTTACTTTTTCATTTGGTGGTGTTCAGAGTTCAGTTACTTTTCTAAAAGTAAAAGGAACACATTATGTTTCTGATGCTGTTTTAATCCTGTTACTCTGTCATTTAGGTTCAACTCTGCATCAACACAATACTCTACAAAATACATTTTCATGCAGGTATGCAGTATTCTGTAACTATATACACCACTTAATATGACACATTTGATTAACAGCTGAAAAATGGAGGATGGAGGAGACGAATCAAGAAGGAAGCAAGGAAAGAGAAATGAGACAGTCTGAGAGTTCTATTTTAGAGAGTCTTATATTGATGTTTGAAAGTTTGGAGCAATTTACACAAAAGAAACACATTTTTCTGATACTTTAAACATGATTTCAACAAAATAAAAGTTTTTTCTTTTATTTTTATTTGTTAAATAGTCATTTCTGTGTACTGTATATTAGAGAAATTCCCTTACGTGATGAGCTAAATTTTAAATATAAAGACCTTAAATGTATTTAGTCCAACCTGTCATACACACTTTAAAATGTGTGTCGTGAACGCAGCAGCAAGTAAAGGACTTTAATGTAACGTGTCTGATTTTTTTCTGTTTTCTGAGTTTGGTGTTTGCTGTGGAGACACTTGTGTCTGCTGAGCTGCACACGACTGAATGATGCTATGCTCTCACCAACAAATCACAACAACAAATCACATTCATTTACACCAAGACACACTCAAAGAAATCTTTACACAACATACACTTCCACCACAACTACGACTACTACTACTACTTTACTGCTACTACTACTACTACTACTACTACTACTACTACTACTACTACTACTACTACTACTGCTACTACTACTACTACTGCTACTACTACTACTACTACTGCTACTATTACTACTGCTACTGCTACTCCTACTGCTACTACTGCTCCTGCTACTGCTGCTGCTACTGCTACTACCTGCTACTACTGTTAATGGTACTACTTCTACTACTACTGCTGCTGCTGCTGCTGCTACTACTGCTACTGTTACTACTACTACTACCTGCTACTACTGTTAATGCTACTGCCACCACTACTACTACTACTACTACTACTACTACTGCTATTACTACTTCTACTACATTGTCCATCAAATAGTTAAAGGGTCCATATTACACTATTTTCTGGGCAGTGTTTTAATGTTGTTTCCTCATCACAATCAGACCAGGAGTCAGTGTCTGTTTTTCGAGATATTTCTGAGCTGTAACAACACCTGTAACTGCATAAATGTAACGCAGAGCTGTTTAATGCCATAGTGTGGAACATTCCAGACAGAAAAATTACTTACACAAAAAATTCAAAGCAGGATTATCCCTAAAAAAAACTATTCTAAATGTACAAAATCATTGAAGGTGCAATAGGTAACTTTTTGTTTAGGGTTTGCCTGCTTGTTTCTATGGAGACGTCATTCCTCTGCCTGGAATGTCCCACAGTGTGGCATTAAACAGTTCTACTTTACATTTATTCAGTTACAGGTGGTTTTATAGCTCAAAAATACCTAGAAAAACAGACATTGTGACTGTGAGCGAGGTCGCCTCTCCACAGATCTGACCTGTAACTTGGTCTGTTCAAGTCTCCATGAGGACAAAAAGGTTTAATGCCATACTGTGAAACATTCCAGACAAAACAATAACATCTTCATGGAGAAAAGCGTTTGACAGACCCTCCACCAGAAAAGTTACAAAATTCTCCTTAATAATTTTTTACAAACTTTTATAATATTTATCCAATTCTCATTTCATATTGTAATATATAAAAGTAACAATAAGTTCTTGTCTAGTACTAGTACGTAGAAAAAGTACTCATGATAAATACTGACCCCCCCAAAACTATTGTTCCAGTTTTCATATATTGAGCGGTTCAACGTAGGCATCTAGGTATTTGTACTTTACGTAATAAGCTTTTAAAGTGGATATATTTTTTATGTTTACTTCACTACATTTGAGAGCAAGTATCTGTACTTTCTTCTCTAATACATTTTTTAACACAACAGAAAAGTAGAAGTTAAAACACAATGGACTCCAGGCACTCATCAGGGCTTATTTGATGAAGATCAGGTTGGTCGTTACATGTTGACTTTGGCCATTTAAATAAAGGCCTTTTAACTATATTTTTCTTCATGTGATTTTGACTTCTTTGGAATACCTGGAGTCCATTGTGTTTTAAGTTTTGATCCTTTTTCCAAGAGCACCCTCTACCTGCTCCCACTGATTGGAACACCTGCAGCAAACAGCCACATTTAATTTTTTTCTGGAAAGTAAAAGTGTTTTTTTATTATTATTATATTATTATTATTATTATTATAGTTTAGCCTTTTATTTTTAACATGTTCATAATTTCAGATACAAATAAAAACAGCTATGAAGAAAATGATCGATTCTATTGTTTCTACTGAAAAAAATTCAGCACAAATCTGTCAAAATCAGTACATTGATTTGTACATTGAAGCTTTATTAACCCTCAAAATCTGCGTGAAATACTTTTACTTTTTACTCTTTAACCCTTTTATTTAGTTATGATTCTTTCTTTTTTTTTTTTCAGGATTTTTTTTTCCAAAGCATTTTTATTACTCTTTAGGCATAAAAGAATATAATCACCTTTTTTTTTTTTTTTTCAAACATGCATTCTTCAAGGACTTGGTGACATGTCCACTAGGGTGGACAATGCACATTTGAACAACGAATGAAATATGTGTTTGTTTATTACTATGTGAAAAGAAACATTGTAAATACTATAAAACATGTTTTTGTTTGCTCGTTAACATTGTGTTCATATATTTTGAACATATTCCAGAACTGTTAAATGTACTGCAAAAACATTTAACCAGAGAAAAATGAAGTTCTTTGAAGCACTGATAGTTCAGTCTAAATAACTCCAACCATAATAATGAAGATGCCTCCCACTACTTATCACCAACTACTATGGCAAACATTCTTTCAATGTGCTTAAGTGCATCAGTACAGTGTGTCTTGTATGGAAATTGGCAAAGCACCAGGGCACAAAGTCACAAGACACTGCATGCAGATGATGTAATTTCTTTTTCGTGTGCAAGCATCATGGCATCTATTTGCATTTCTTGCTTCACTGAGCCTGGGCCAGTGGTCTCCAGGTCCAATCTCAGGAGGGCAGGGACACTGCGCTGATCTTCAGAGGAGGTGGGGTGGCACTGGGTCTTCCTCGTCTTGGTGTCTGGATAGAAGTTGCACTTATTAACGCACGAGCTACAAACGCCTTGAGATGCATCTCATCTCCTTCTTGGCCAATTCACATATTGTGTACATGTGCCAGGCATTCACATCCAAGAAGTGGAAGAACATTCAAAGGTACATCATTTGTTTTTGCGTCAGTGGGGATACACTGTGACTCAGTGATCCCTGAAATCTACCCCTGCCATATGGTGCTTTGCCAATTTCCATACAAGATAACCTTTTTCCGCTAAAGACACACTGTACTGATGTACTTATGCACATTTGAAAGAATGTTTGCCATAGTAGTAGCTGATAAGTAGTGGGAGGCATGTTCATTGTTATGGTTGGAGTTATTTAGACTAGTACTATCAGTGCTTCAAAGAACTTCATTTTTCTCTGGTTAAATGTAGTGTAGTACATTTAAAAGTTCACGATAGTACTAATATCCACAAAATATTGCTAGAATAAAAATTAAATTTTTCAGCCAAAATATCACTGCAGATGGTGTATTTTCAACAACAAAACTGTATAGCAATACTATAAATAGTAGCCTAAATATAGCCATAGATGCATGATGTCCAACTGAGTGGACACATGATTAATCTCAATTTCCCTAAATCACAAAATCAATACTTGAATATTTTAACAATTATATTGATTAGTTAAATTAGTTGTTGCTTGATGTCCATATCATATATATATATATATATATATATATATATATATATATATATATATATATATATATATATATATATTTATTTATTTATTTATTATTTTTTTTTACCTGCATGGGTCTCCTGGAAAAGAAGACGTTCAGACTCATTTATATAGGAGAAAACAACTATTGAATAACTGTCTACTGTAGTGACCACTATGCATGAAAGGGTTAAGTACATTTTAAACAGGTACGTGTAGTGTTTTTTTTTTTTTTTTTTTTTTTTCAAGTGATGCTTTTACTTTTACTTGAGTATTTCTTTGCTCTGGTATCTGTACTTTTACTTAAGTCACTTCTTCCAGCACTGTTCATTCATACTTTGTGCTATTCTCAAAGCAACCACAAGAGGGTAGTAATTGTCTTACTTTTCACGTCTTTATTTGTCCAGGTTTTCTGTGGTTTATAACAGACCGCAAATGACCACAACTTTTTATTCACTTAACTTTTGTTTCCTTTAATATTAAATTGCATTGTAATTATTATTACTTCTATTGTATCTCCCTACAATTTCAAATAACAGATGCATTTTTACTCAGTCAATCAGACCCAAGAGTGTAGAAAAAAAAAAAAAAAACTTAAGGTCAATGTGACCCCGCGGAGAGCGTGAGGGTTAAACTGACACTTGCATGAAACTAAACCCGAGCTAGACCAGACCTAAACCAGAACGGGACCAAATCAAATCTGCATAGACAAACGAGTCCAAAACCAGGACCAAAACTAGTCCAAAACCAGGACCAAACCAGGACCAAATCGGGATCAAATCAGGACACATAACGCGGAAGTTGTGAGTCCTGCACGAACTAAAGACTAAAGTGTCTTTTTCCGTCATTTTCCAACATGGCAATCGTAAGCGCACTGTTAAACTGGCTTCCTCGGGTCCTTTCATTGTCTCTGTGTGTGTTTTTCTTTGCGTTTCTCGGATATTGTCTTTACATCAAATACCAGCATCTCAAATATGACCACATCCCTGGACCGCCACGAACCAGGTACGTTATGAATTATGGAAAAAGTAGTTTACGTACTTAAACTTGCACATTTTGTTTGTTTAAATGCAGTTTTTTCTTGGGCCATTCTCCAATTTTGGTGGAAGTGATGAAAAAGGATGGAGGCGTTCAGGAAAAGTTTCTAGAATGGTGAGAAAAACGCAACAGTAAAAGTGTGAGTTTAACGTGCGGGTTTTATTACAACACTGACGCACTTTGAAATGAACAGTTTTCTTTTTACTAACATTTAGCCCTATATTACGCACAGTTGACTCTTGTGAACTTTAATTCATGTTTTAATGTTTTTACCTCCTCGAAAAACAGACCTGGAATTGTGTTTTGTTTAACTCATGTGTTTGAGTTGTAATATTCTTTTACTATTTAAAAGTTTAGCCGAGACGCGTCTTTAGACTGCGTTTATTTACACTGCATAACGGCAGCTACGGTAGGGACATATAAAATGTGATTTCACAATTCACCTACATTACAGAATACATTGCATCCAACTTTGTCAGTAATAAAATATAACTGACTGAGAATAGTACAAATATCTGTCATATTATTGTTATTATGCTCAGAGATTAGAACAGTGTAATAATGAAATAATGAAACAGTGAAACTTTTTTTAATTTTTATTTTTTTATATAACCCAACTAAAGTAGGAAGGAGAGGTTACTAGCACATCACTTCCTTTCAAGCGTCTATACTACACCTGCCCCTGACTACAGCAGTGCATTGGATGTAATAAGTTCATAAGTTCAGTTTTTCAGGTGCGCTCACCATTCTGCCCCGTGTGGTGTGATACAGTTCACCAGTTTCGGCTTGTGGGTGCTGTGATAAGACTGTCAACCATAATGCCAATAGCTCCAGTGATGTCCTCTAGCATTTGGTCCATGATGCGCTGAAATATCTCAGATGCGCATTTGATGCCAAACGGTAAACTCATCCACCTGAAACTTCCAATAGATGTGTTGAATGTCATCAGGAATGATAAAGACTCATCCAATTCAATCTGTAGGAACCCTAACTTTACATCCAGCACTGAAAACACTTTCACATTTGGCATTGTTGACACGACTTCTTCTGTTGTGCACATGGGATAGTGCTCTCGTTTCATAGCATTGTTCAAGTCACTTGGATCTATGCAGATTCAGATTTTGTCTTTGTTTGTGACTACGACCATCGAACAAACCCATTCAGTTGGTTGGTCAACTTTGGCAATTTAGCCATCTTGCACCATCTCATTTAGCTTTTCCACGACCTTTGTTCTGAGTGCGACAGGTGTCGGTACACAGGATGTACCATGGGTTTTCCTTTTGGGTTCATCTTTACTGTGTATTTACCTGGTAGTGTCCCTGTAGTGTGTGCCAGCTCTGGGAAGTTCTCAAGACCAGCAGGTGTGCCTGTAGTTGTGGCAGTATTTTTAACTGCTCACATTGTCCGCAACCCTATTGTCTTGTCAAGAGTCAAGTCTCACAATCAGGACTAGGGCCTCTGCTGTTGTGCCACTCAGTACATTCTCTTGTGCAATGTCCACAATTTCAAACTCTGCTTTCGTTTTGTGCTCTTTAACAGTAGGTCAACTGCTGCAACAGGCGTTATTTTGTGGTTGGAGTAGGTTCTGAGCCCTCTTTTGGAGGCTTTCAGCTCATCTGTGTGGTCTAGCAACTGGTAACAATTCAGAGTCTGCGTGTTACACTTTGCACCTGTATCTATCCTAAACTGCACTTTCTGCAACAAAACATCAGTGTTGACCAACCACTTATCATCTGCCAATGTTGATACTGGCACTGCATCTGTAGTCAGGTTAATATTTCAGTATTTCCTCTTTACTCATGTCATTTGTTGACTCCATGTTCACTTCAGTCACGGAGTGACTGCGACAAACTGATGCCCAATGGTTTAGTTTATGACAGCAGGAGCAAATGGAGCCTTTTGCTGGGTATTTACCTTGATTCCACTTGCGCTTGGGGTTTATATGCCTTTTTGTTCAGTGTGTTGAACTTTGGTTTGCTTGACATTGCACAGACCTGTGCATCCTCCTCTCACACAATTCTCATTTGCGTTTGCGACATTTCAAACTGTTGGGGGATTTCAATGGCTTTGGCCAGTGTCAGCTCCTCACCTTTGTCAAGCAGCCTCTCTTGGACACGTTTTTCTCGCACAGTCGCTATTATGGCGTCTATCAACATGTCATCCAAGTCGTCATACTCACAGTCCAGTAACAGCAGCCTCAAATCTTTCACAACGTGATCAAAAGTTTCAGTTGCACCTTGTTTCCTTTATCTGAAATGATGCCTGGCGATCTGTTTATCCTTTTCACCATCAGTCCATTCCAATGTTTTGTAGATTTCTCTCCCTTGTTCTCCAATCCTTCGTGCCGTTCCAACCCACCTTCTGCTTGGACTCACAGACAGGGGTCCTGTGAACACAAAGCTAACGTAGCTCCAAAATCCTTGGAACTCTTGATACAAATTTGCTGCATCCCCGTCAATCTTCAGGTGATCAAACTGCATTTTCATGGCTATGCAGGTAACTTACTGTACCAAACAGCTTTCTGATATCATGTAATATTATACCCGAGATATTTTAGTGCATCACGGACCGAATGCTAGAGAGCATCACCGGAGCTACAGGCATTATGGATGACATTCTCATCGCAGTGTCAACAGTGAGAGAACCCAACTAAATACTGAAAAAGTTGAGAGAGCCACAATCTGCAACCTAAAACTGAACTTTAACAAGTGTCGGCAGTCGTCAATGGCTTTTGTAGGACATTTGATAACAGGCAATTGACTGAAACCTGACCCTGCTAAAACTGAAGCTGTTAGGTGTATGCTGCCACCTACAGACAAGGAAGGTTATGACACTTTCTAGGAATTGTGACCTACCTTTCAAAGTTTATTCTTTTCTTTCTTTCTTTCTTTCAAACCTAAGTGAGATCGATGCACCGCTGAGGCAGCTGAGCAGCAGCTCATAAAATGTGATGTGGAGTTTGCATGGCAGCCAGCCCAACAGCAAGCATTTGATAAGCTCAAGCATGTTTACACACATCATCCTGTGCTAAAGTTCTACAGTGTGTCAAATCCAGTGCAAATATACAGTGATGTCAGCAGCACTGGACTGGGAGCTGTGCTAGTACGCAACAACCATTGATTGGCATTCTCCAAGAATGCCAATCAAGATCAGTGACCGATGCAGAGACGCATTATGCGCAGATTGAGAAGGAGATGCTCTCCATCGTTCATGCCTGCACTAAGTTTCACCACTTCATCTTTGGGAAACATGTCACAGTGTTTAATGACCACAAGCCGCTTGAGGATATTTACAGAAAGCTTGTGCTGTCCATAAGGCGGTTGCACTTAGGGAATTTCTCCTGCAGTGCGGTATAGCGGCTCAACATCGCTGTATACGGTGATACCGCACCCCTCCCCCACCCACCATCCCCTGGAGTTATAATATTTCCAGCGACACTGAAAACTCTCTCAGATGATGCGCTTGTTGCGCAGATGTAGATGTACTTTGGTTATTGCGCAAATATAACGTAACATTTAGCTTTGGAACAAGTGCCGCTGCATCTCTCCAGCTCTCACTGTAGCAGTTCAGGTTAGAGTCCTGCTCCACGTTGGGTACCCCTGGACTTAAGAGAGAGAGAGCCCCGAGCACGCAGAGCAGGGTGTCCGCAAAGTGCTATCAGGCGACGGCTGCACTTACCTCCGTGCAGCACAGAGCTCTGCAGCGGTCCTTTCACCTGCAGTCACCCAACGGTCTACACGGGCGCACCTTAGTCCTGGGTTAGTCCTGGGTTATCGCGGGCAAATATCAACCAGTCACATCACATCACACCTGAGGAAGAGCACTGCTGTGAACCACCAGAGACACCAGCAGCTGAGGAGCAGCCATGTGCAGCTGTACCTCCAAAGCCACCATCTTCACCCTCTATGATCCCACTCCTGACAGCATCTTTATACTGCATTTATTATCACTGCATAACGGTAGCTACGGGTAGCAGTAGGGAAATATAAAATGTGATTTCGCTATTCACATACGTTACAGAATACATTACATGAGTAACTCTTTATTATTAGTCTGTCTACATCTCCAAAGCTCCAAATGCTCTGTTCAACCTTGTGATGTCATGCAGTGGCAGTTTTCATGTTTACAACTACATTTTACCTTTAGGTTGAAAACACAGTGGAGCACTTCCTGCATTGCCACATGTCATCACAAGGTGGAATAGTGTTTGAGAGACAGACTCAACCAAAATATGCAGGGTTTGTGTTTTAAACATGAGTGTGAATGAAACAAAACACACCTCCAGGTCTGTTTGTGATGAGGAAACTACAATATAACAGATGAGAAAAGAGCGTAATATTGGCCCTTTAACAAATGAAAATACTGCACTCTGTTCATGTGTTATGTAGATGTTATGTGTTTTGGGGTGTGTTTCAACATTTAGCCTGTAATAGTATTACTAATATAGTGTAACCCCTCAGCCTTCTGCACTCTCCTCTAGTATTGATTTACTTATTGTAACATGTTATGTAAAGTAAATAAATTCCTGTTTTAGGTCAGAGATATATGGACCAGTGTACAGGATCAACATACTACATAATGTGATGCTTGGAGTGCACTGCCCAGAGGCTACAAAGGTAAGCCTCATTCAACATCTTCACAGTGGTGAAAGAAGTACTCAGTTTTGTTACCTAAGTCAGAGTAAGGGGAAGCAGTTCTTCACCAACACTGTTTATAGTGCGGGGGAAGAGCTGTTGACCTCGACTGGGGAGGTTGTCGGACAGTGGAAGGAATACTTTGAGGATCTCCTCAATCCCAGTGTCACGTCTTCTGAGGAGGAAGCAGAGGCTGGAGGCTGGAGACTCGGAGGCGGACTCATCCATCACCCTGGCTGAAGTCACTGAGGTGGTTAAAGCTCCTCGGTGGCAAGGCTGCAGGGGTGGATGAGATCCATCCTGAGTATCTTAAGTCTCTGGATGTTGTGGGGCTGTCTTGGCTGACACACCTCTTCAACATCACGTGTTGGTCCCTCTACATAAGAAGGGGACCGGGGGGTGTAGGTGTAAGGTCTATTCCAAGGTACTAGAGAGGAGAATCCGGCCGATAGTTGAACCTCAGATCCAGGAGGAGCAATGTGGTTTTCATTCCAGCCGTGGAACACTGGAGCAGCTCTATACTCTCCATCAGGTCCTCGAGGGTTCATAGGAGATTGCCCAACCAGTCCACATGTGCTTTGTGAGAAGGGGGTGCTCCAGGAGTCTGGGATCCCGGTCCTTTGCTAAGGGCTGTCGGTCCCTGTATGACCGGAGCAGGAGCTGTGTTCATATTGTCGGCAGTAAGTCAGACCTGTTCCCGGTGCATGTTGGACTCTGCCAGGGCTGCCCTTTGTCACAAGTTCTATTCATTGTATTTATGGACAGAATTTCTAGGCACAGTCAGATGCCGGAGGGGTTCTGGTTTGTGGACCACAGGATCTCATCTCTNGGTCCTTTGCTAAGGGCTGTCCGGTCCTTTATGACCGGAGCAGGAGCTGTGTTCATATTGTCAGCAGTAAGTCAGACCTGTTCCCGGTGCATGTTGGACTCTGCCAGGGCTGCCCTTTGTCACAAGTTCTATTCATTGTATTTATGGACAGAATTTCTAGGCACAGTCAGATGTCGGAGGGGTTCTGGTTTGTGGACCACAGGATCTCATCTCTGCTGTTTGCAGATTATGTTGTCCTAATGGCTCCATCAAACCAGGACATGCAATGTGCACTACGGTGGTTTGCAGCTGAGTGTGAAGTAGGGGTGGCACGGTTCACAAAATTCATAGTTCGGTTTGTATTGCGGTTTAAGGTCACAGTTTTCGGTTTGGTACGGTTCCTGTTGTCATTATTTCTTTTTAATCTTTAATCTCCAGAGATATACTTCAGCATATGCTATGTTATCTTAATTATCCACAATTTAGGATACAACATCAAAAAATTGTATAAAGTTATAGTTAATAATGTAATCATGCTCAAACTGAATTTGACTTGACTTTAAGCGCATTATTAATGGACATGCAGCTGATGAGCTTCAGTGAAAAAATGTTACCACCTTCCTAACCCTCCTCAGGAGTCGGGATACTTGGTTTAGTGAGATTGCGCTCTTGGCTGCACGGCTCCACCGCATGCATCAGCGTTTACGCACGTAACTTTGCGAAACCACAGCCACGTGTCAACACGAAGGCAGCTCCACTGGCAGCTGCAGCAGGATGTACACACGCAGCACTGGCTCCGTGTTTCTCAGTAGGAAAGACGATCAAACTTGACAGAGGCGCTTTTAGCCGCTTGTATCAGGTCCACAGTGAAACTAACAGCTGAACAGACTTGTATTTACCTTCTGTACAGGCTCACCACAGCAAACGAGAGGATTTCAAAAGTTAATTTTAAAACACTAATTAACAGTATTTCTGGACCTGGGCTCTTTCACATGACACAGATCTGCCCCAGGAACACGTTGTGCTGAGGGTAAACGCACAAATACAACTAAAGATTCATGTTCTCTGTGTATTTTGATGGGGATATGCGCCTCCACTCGCGTAGAGCATCAAAAAATAGGATGGATCCTATTTTCTGAAATCCATGAGTGCAGGAAGCGTTGTTCCATACACACGTCTAGCACGTACAGCCCTCATTCACTTTCCATGCATTCTAAAAGTTATGCGTCCAAAAGCTGCAGTTTTTACATTTGCATAGGGCGAAATGCGCATGAGCATTAGATCCTGGCTCCACTGCATGGCTAAACGCGCCCAGTCAAGTTTGATCGTCTTTTCCATTGACAAATACAGAGCCAGAGCTGCACGTGCACATCCTGTTGCAGCTGCCGGTGGAGCTGCCTTTGCGTTGATGCGTAGCTGTGGTTTTGTGAGGTAAAGACACGGGTGCATCCTCCATCTCCGGCGGCCCTCTTCTCTCTATTTGCCATTTCTACATGTGATGTGCAGCTTTCACCCTCCACACCTCTTCTTTTGCGTCAAAGCGAAACAGGTCACACACAGGCACGAGGCTACAATGCGCAAGCCAGGAACTGTGGAAACCATGCGGTACGCACACATCCCGAACCGTGACAAGTGAACCGAATGTTTTTTTTTTGTTTTTTTCCATGAACCTTGCCACCCCTAGTGTGAAGTGGCTGGGATGAAGATCAGAGGCCACGGTTCTTGACAGGAAAAAGGTGGCCTGCCGTCTCCGGGTGGATGGAGGGTCCCTGCCTCAAGTGGAGATCTTTCTCGGGGTCTTGTTCACAAGTGAGGGGAGGATGGAGCGTGAGATTGACAGGCGGATCGTGTTTATGTCCCACTGGGAGGAGGCCCTGGGGATGACCCAGGACTCATTGGAGGGACTATGTCTCTTGGATGGCCTTGGGGTCCCCCGGAGGAGCTGGAGGAAGTGTCCGGGGTGAAGGAAGTCTGGGAGTCCCTGCTCAGACTAATGTCCCCCGCGACCCAACCCCAGATAAAGTGTAGTCTAGGCTTAGTTTCCTGGTTGATACAATTCTAATTTAAATCCTTTTTCTTTCCTCTGACATCATTTCAGGAGATTCTCATGTCCCCAGAATACCCCAAAGATAAATTCTTCTTCAAGCGTGTGTCCAAACTTTTTGGTCAAAGGTAAAAGTCAAAACAGAGTCATTTTTCAATCTGTATTTTCTTTATTTTGCTTCATATCCTTTCTACTTTTGTTTAGGTTTTTGGGGAATGGTCTTTTGACAGCGCGAGACCACGAGCAGTGGTACAAACAGAGACGCATCATGGACCCCGCCTTCAGCAGCCTGTGAGCCACAACTGCACATACTTGTATTTATTACAATGATTACTTATATTATTCATTATTATTTTTATACTGCGAAGAACATGGGGTGACACCATAGACTGTATATAGAAGTGGACTGAGGAAGTGTGACATCACCCATGGCACTCGGTCCAGTCCAATGAAGCTCACCAGGCGAGCAGTTATATGAGTCGAAATAAAAACGCTAGGCTCATGTAGAGTGGGTTAATACAAACATCCATTCCTCCATTTTCTTCCGCTTTATCCGTGGCCGGGTCCCGCTCTTCTGAGGAGAATATGAACACTATAAGGCCAAAATGAAGTGGCTCATGCAGCAGTTACAGAGTTTTTCAATATAAAGTCAGTTGGAGCCAGAGTGGATGGAGCTGGAAGCGTCCCCATGCTCACTTCCTATTTACCATTTTTTTTCGGCCTATAAGTCGCACTTTTGTCATGGTTTGGGTGTTTCCTGCTACTTATACTCTGGTGCAACTTATATATTAAGATTTTCAGAATGACAGCTGTGAGAAGGTGCTCTAGGCTTGTGGATCAGTTTTCTGTGCATGTCTCCTGAAGAAAAAGCCACTGTCCTGCTGCAAGTAGTGAAATCATGGCTCTTTGAAAATAAGTGAAATATGCAGCAGAAATGGTAATTGAGCAGCAGAAAGAAAGTTTGGAGTGAGCGAGAAACTTGTGAGGGACTGGCAGAAAGCAGGGATGGAGAACACAGCTTCACTGCGGATGCACCATGCAACTTCCATGGAAGTCATTGGATGACACACATGGACTCCTGTGATAACGGAAGTTGCGCGGAGTTGCTCAGAAGTGACAGCGAGGATGAAAAATTCAATGGATTCAGTGGATTTAGTGATTTGGAGTGAGATGGAGAGTTTGGTAAACTTATGTTCTGTTGTTTATGCTATAGTTATCTGAATAATTGTTGATATGTTACATTAACACATTGACGCATATTCAGCCTGTTGTTCTTTATGCTATTGTTATTATTTCTATAACTTGCCTTTCAAGATGAAATGTCGGTTCTTGGTCCCTAATTTTATAAACTAAATTTCCCCCAAAAATTGCAACTCTTGTATGTTTTTTTCTTCTTCATTATGTATTTTTTGGCTGGTGCGACTTGTACTCTGGAGCCACTTATAGTCCGAAAAAGACAGTAGATGGATAGCGGATTAGGGTCAGTCCATATGAAATCAGCCATTTTCAAGGAATCTCCCCTATGAGCCATCTCAGATTTGGCTGAAAAAAATTCAAAAAATTTCTAAAATAACCAAATGAAAGAATCTCAAATTGTAGCTCAATCCCTTGAGTCGTTCCTGAGTTAGGGCCCATTGAAATTTTGGGGCCATGCTCACTTTTTCAGAAACCTTAATTTATGAGCATGTTTGAGAGACCATAACTTCATAAAAAATAGGACTAGGAAGATGAAAATTTGTATTATTATATAGATAAAGATATAGATATAGATATAGATATAGATTCTAAATCTGTTTTCAAATGTTGGGTATCTGTATTAAGGTGGGCGCTGTGGGCCCCCAAAATCTCACATTTTGTCATTTTTGGTGGATCTTAGGGACTTTTCCACCTGCTGGAAAGGTTCAATTACCTTTAATAGACTTAAACAGTATTTGCTTGTTATAAGGGAATGGATTGGAGATTGCTTGGAAAAGTGTCATTAATCCTTTGAGATCCTTATAACAAGCAAATAGTGTTTAAGTCTATTAAAGATAATTGAACCTTTCTGCAGGTGGAAAAGTCCCTAAGCTCCACCAAAAAGGACCTGTGAGAGATAATTTTCAAAAATTCCATTTGAAATGAAAGAAGTTAATAATAAATGTTTTTATTACTTTAAACTAATCAGAATATGCCAAAGTTCCTCTAGTAAAAATTTTATCAACATCTAACTGTGCCACATGGGGAACCGAGGGTCCAAAGAAGGGGCCAAAAAGATCACATTTGGTCTGTGACCATATTTGGGACTCTACACCATCCACATGAAAGCTCAGAAAAGTGTGAGATTGTTGTCAGAAATGGTCATTCTCTCATATATTCAGGTTCAACAGTTAGTTTGTGAATATCTTCTTGGAGTAAATAGATCTTGGACCTCAAAAATTGAAAGGAAAAATTGAGCGACAACCAAATTTGAGATTTTGGGGGCCCACAGCGCCCCCTTAATAAAGATACCCTATACTTGACAACAGATTCAGAATCTATGACCAAGAATCTACAATAATAAAAAAATTCAGCTTTCTAGCTTTATTTTTTATGAAGTTATGGTCTCTCAAAAATTAAGGCTTCCAAAAAGTGAGCTTGGCCCCAAAATTTCAGCGGGCCATAACTCAGGAATGACTGAAGGGATTGAACTAAAATTTGAGATTCTTTCATTTGGTGATTTTAGAAATGTTTCAAATATTTTATCAGGCAAATCTGAGCTGGCTCTTAGGGGAGGGCGGCTGATTTCATATGGACTGACCCATTAGCTGTGACCATTTATGTAAACAGTCTCTGGGTGATAGTACTTCAGTTGGTAGAGTTTTTGTCCACTGATCTGAAGGTTGAAAGTTCGAATCCTGGTCTCGACATAAACATCATTGGTAAAGCAGATGAATACTGTTGTTGTGTCCTTGGGCATGACACTTACCCCACCTCACCCCCGGGTGTCTGTGTACATTGGTTTATAAATGTGTGTGTGAATGAGTGAGTGGTTTCTTGATGTAAAACACTTTGAGCCTTGAAGGTGGAAAAGCACTGTTTAAAAATTTGACCATTTACAATATAGAAGGTGTCCCAAAAAATTTGACATAATTTCGCAGGCCAGTAATTTTGGCAGTTCTTGTTGAAATAACCTAAAATGTTTATAGAACGTATAGAAAATGATTAAGATTTTATATTTAATGTTTTTATTTTTGTTCAGGTTGAGCCATGCCGTTCACTCCCAAAGAGAAGTCATTTTGCGTCTTGGAATCTGCTCGCACACATATGTAATCCTTTAGTCTTGCATAAGCAACCTTCATTTTTACATTTTTGGTACCAAGTCCAAATTTGTTTGCCATGGGGGAAGTTTTTTTTTCCAAATTTTACATTGTAGTCACACTGCACAGTCTTGGGTGTGGGAGCAGATTCCAAGATGCAAAATAACTTCTCTTTAGGAGTGATTGGCTCAACCTGAAAGCAGAACAACAACAACAAAAAAACTCATAAAAACATTCCATATAAAATCTTGATTGTAATAGTAAATGGGCCTCAGTATTGTCCTGTTTGAATGCAGATATCTGAGAGGTTTGACGAGCACCTTTAATGAGAGAGCAGACAAACTGATGGAGAAGCTTTCTGAAGAGGCCGAGAACAAAACCGTGGCCAACATGCTCCATCTGGTCAACTGCGTCGCACTGGACATTATCGCCAAGGTAAAATGTATAAGATGGAGGTGAACCAAATTTAAAGATGTGCTATGTAACTTTTCTAGCTCGTTTACAGTAAGAATGCATGGTTTTCAAGGTATTTTTAACGATACAAACACCTGCAACATCTCCATGTATAAATGGCGTAATATAGACCTTTTAGGGTAAACCATTGTGTTCATGTGCTTCAAAGTCTATGCTATTTTTAAAAAGGTATATTTTGAATTTACTTTTAATGTTTTGACATAGTTAGAGGAAAAAAATTGCTCTAAATGAAGTTGGGGCATTTAAAAAAACAGGGAAAAAAAGTCTTTGTTCCAGTTTTTGGGGCACTGGGGACTATAGCCCAGTCATATATCAATTTTCTTCTTGTGGGGAGGAGTAAATTATAACTCTTTGTTCATCCTTGTGTCTCAGGTCGCGTTCGGAGTTGATCTGGACCTGCTTAGGTACTCCTCACCGTTCCCCAGAGCCATCGAGATGTGTCTCCAAGGAATGTGTCACTATATCCGAGATGCAACCTTCGAGGTCAGTGATATTCATGCTCCTGTGAAATGTATTTACTGTGTTCACTTTGACATTTGTATATTTTAATAAACATCTCACACTCTTCAGTTCAGACCTCAGAACTGGTCGTACATTAGTGAAGTGAGGAAAGCCTGTGATCTGCTGCGTTCCACTGGAGCTCAGTGGATCAATGAGAGGAAGACGGCCATGCAAAACGGAGAGGAGGTGCCCAAAGACATTCTCACACAGATCATCAAATCAGCCGGACAAGGTGAACACAACAAATAACAAAACACTGCCACTGCAAACAAAGGATATTACTTTTGCTTGACAATCCAGCCCTTCTACTTTCTTTTTAATGTGGGAGTGTCCCTTGGAGTATTTCCTCTGGAAGGTCTTCTGTCACATTTGCTTCTACAGATGGTGTAAAACACCTGTAGCATCTCAAATATCCATAGCTAACTTCTCAACTAGCTCCTCAGCTAGCATCTTGCACAGTTTCCATGGATACAGGAAAAAACACACAATCTAACAGTCTCTTTGTCGTGTTCTTTGAACTGCACATGCTGCACTTCTTACTTGGTTAAAATCCCATGATATAATAAAAATAAATAAATAAATAAATAAAGTTTGAAAAACTGCTCAGTGTGTGAGCAGGATATGCACAAGAGCAACCAACCACTGTTGCCCTGAGATATGTCATTTATGTTAATATTTATTCCTCCTCCAACCAAAAGGCAACTTTGTCAACCCTACATTTTTGATTTCAAGTTGAAATGTAGAGAAGGTTTCTTGGTCATCTGGTCGTCTGGACTCTTCTTTCCATTAAATGTGTCCTGGACGAGTGAAGAACTCCTCCTTATATTGCTGCATCTTAATGAATCCATGTTTCCACTATTTCAGAGGAAAGCATGACCAAGGAGGATGAAGAGTTTATGTTGGACAACTTTGTGACCTTCTTTATCGCAGGTGAGGGCTTTTGCTTTGCTTAGTTGCCTCATGTTTGTCTTTATTACCATGTTATTACCATGTTATTACCATGTTATTACCATGTTATTATCCTGTTATTACTAAGTGTTCTATTATCATTGCAGGCCAGGAGACCACCGCCAATCAACTCGCCTTTTGTATCATGGAACTGGGACGACACCCGGATATTTTAGAGAAGTATAGACATCATGACGTGAACTAAATAACTACAGATCATTTACATGTACAAAACATTTTGAATTACATCGTTATTACTCCCCAGAGCGAAGAAAGAGGTGGATGAAGTCATTGGAATGAAGAGAGAAATAAGCTACGACGACCTGGGAAACCTGACGTATCTCTCACAGGTACAACACAGTAGATTATCAGGGAAAAACAGAAAAGTTCAGCAATGCACCTTTACGCTTTTTTGTGTTGAGTGCATGATAATTTAGTTTCGTTTAGTGGAAGGAAACTAGTTTTCCACATTAAAATAAATATATTCATATTTACTACTCTTTCTAACTTTGCACAAGCAGTGGCTTAACAAAGAAATACTGTTGCTAAAAAGTATTTGTTTCTTAAACAGTAAACAGTAATATCTCAGTGTCAATATATTGATTATCACATGTATCGTAATATCCTGATATCGTATCGTGAGTCATGCATCGTTCATTGTTCATTCAATCAAATATTTTAAAATACTGTGGTCGATTTGTACACGGCTGAGTTCATGTACAGAGTCAAACGTGATGAAAATCCTCATTCTTTACAGGCAATGTTCCCTCAGAGAGAAAGTAAATATAATAATGTATATTGTTCCACAGGCCACATGTAAGAACGACTCTGAGGAACACTGTTTATCAAGCAAAGTTCACTACCACTCTTATACAATTCAAATCATTTTTAAGAGAATAGTAATGGAAACATATTTGAAAGAATAACAACAGTTAAGACAATGTTGTGATAATTAGAATAATTGCACACTTTAGTTTCATCATGATGTAGTAAAATGTAATAATGTTGTATTCATTTTGTAGATGAATGTCCATTAGCGTGCTGTAGTTGGAGATAAGGGTGGACACAATAAGCTTCAGCTTCAGCTTCAGCCTGCACCTCATTGACTTAGTGTTTGATTTGATTGTGAAGTTCTTCAGACTGAATATGTTTTGTTTTATGGGCATCAGACTGAATGTAACGTATGTAGAATCTAATGAGTTATACACTGACCAAATGAAAGTAAATGAAATGAATTTCCAGCCCTAATCAAAATGAATATGATTTATCACCATATGTACACAGGTGCTGAAAGAGACGCTCAGACTGTACCCCACTGCCCCTGGGACGTCCCGTGGTCTGATTAAAGACACGGTGATAGGAGGCATCAATGTCCCAGCAGGAGTGACAGTTATGGTGAGGAAATCATAGACTTTTTTCATTATTCTTCAGTGTCCATATATATTTATGTTTGGGGTATCAGGATATTAACAAAACAATGGACTTTAGTCAGATCAGGTACACACAGACACATTTAGTATTGTTCTACTTAAGTGGTTATTTGACATTTTTTGGCAATAAAAGAAATAAAATCAAACACCATTTAAGTCATGTTATTAGGTTCATTTTTCAGACCAAGAGTTTGTTTTCATCCCTGACAGTTTGTTCTGCTCCCTGCACTCTTCCTCAGAGTCTCGTGATGTTGCTGTGACGTGTCGCTCAGCTGATTTAAACAGGTTTTGGCACCATCTTCCTACCAGTGGAGGCAGGGCAACAGCGCCATCTGCAGTCCGACTTACTCAGGACAGTATTCCAGGTGTGTGAGAGTAAAAAAGGCCCCTTGTCCCGGTTCATCGTCGTGTGAGCACATTTCCATCTTTCTGTTGTCCATCCTCCACTGGGAACAAGGCGGCACCAAAACCTGTTTAAATCAGCTGAGCAACACGTCACAGCAACATCACGAGACTCTGAGGAAGAGCACAGGGAGCAGAACAAACTGTCAGGATTGAAAACAAACTCTTAGAACTTAATAAGATAAATTATTGGAAGACCAAATGAACTTCATTGGACTACCACTGAAGACATTAAAGAGCCCATGACAAGATTTTTTGATCTATGTTCTAATGTAGTTTTCTCATCACAAACAGACCTGAAGTTGTGTTTTGTTTCATTCTCACAAGTTTAACACTAAACCTCTGCAGATTTAGGCTGAGTTCTTGTCTCAAACAGAGAAACCTTGTGTTGTCATGTGGTAATACAGGAAGTGTTCCCCTGTGTTTTTAAACTCCACACACCTTCACTAGAATCATTTGGATCATTTGAGCCTTTGTTTTAGTGTAGTTTGTATAGAAAACATATGTTCCTCCTCACATTTGATTATTGTCTGTACTTTCTCTAGTTCAGCAGCTACACCTGTGGTCGCTTGGAGAAATTCTTCAAAGATCCACTGAAGTTTGACCCAGACAGATTTCATCCTGATGCTCCCAAGTAAGAAACACCTTACTTACCTTTTAAGGTGCATTGTGTAACTTTCTCGTGGAGCACCTGTTAGATCTCCATGGAGATGTTATAGCTTTGTCTGGAATGTTTCACAGTGTGGCATTAAATATTTGTATTATTATGGATTTTTGAGCAATAAAATGACCTGTAAGTGAATGTAAGGTGGAGCTGTTAGTGGAACATTCCAGACAGAGCAGTGAACACCTGCAGAGAAACAAGCAGGTGACGAACCCCCCACCAGAAAAGTTGCACTTCTAACATTTTTATGCTAATAATCATGTTATAACAGACATGTAAAGACACTGCTGCAGGTTTTCCTCTTGTGCTGTTGTTTCACTTTTGTTTATTCCCACTGTGTCCAGCAGATGGTGCCACTTAACCATTTATATATAGTCATGTGCATATTTCCACCTTAAGAACTGTCCATTTACAAATGCAATGCAAATTATGTATTTCTATGTTAAACATGCATTTTCTGGTGGATTGTTGCAGAGCTTGGCATTAAATGTATCTATTTTGTATTTTTATAATTCGTTTAAAACACACAATATTTAGATCACTATGTGCTATCTTTTATTGTTTTGTAAGGTGGGCTTGAAACAGGAATGGGAGAGATCACTAGATCACTCAAACATGCACGGAGGACATATAAAACTTTTGTGTTGAGCGACTGTTATAACATGATAGAAAGCCACAAAATGTTGATTTTGCATAATACTCCCTCTTTTAAAAAATCATTGTATAACATGTAACATGGCCTAGTGGCATCACCATGGAGACAAACAGGTGGAATAATGTGTGTAAAATCCCTCAGTCGTCCAGGTAGAATCCACGGTAATTTGTCAACTGGACAAAAATGTATTTGGTCGAATATGTTTCACAGCTTATCCAAGCTGCTTCTTCAGTTCTGGTCAGAATACTGGTGGGTACTTCTTTATATCTGCCTGCAGGGACGAGCTAACTAAAGTGAAACTACTCTGAAACTGACACACCTACTTGCTGCAGTTTCTGTTAGTAGCTAAGCCTATTGAACTGCACTGAGTGTGGGGTCTTATTAGCGTAAGGGACATAATGGAGCTTTCACACGTCTGGACCTGACCTGGATACACCTGTTGTTCTCTTGTTAGTTCTGATTTAAGTTTGAGGATAGAGTAGTAAATAGGAGATAGATGGTGTCTGAGTCCCCCATTTCTGTTTAGAGATGGATTGTCTGTCTTAACAAAACAAAAAAAAAAACTTCTTAAACTCCCATTTCAAAACCAATTCTTTTCTCTCTGACTGAGATCTGTACCTCACTGTCCTCAGAGGAGTGGCTCGTGGCTTTTAGGTGCAGATGAACAGCAGACTGAGGTCCCGTGTTGCTCTCTCTTCTGTGTCGGTAAATTGTGAAGTGTCTGTTTTGTTTCTTCAATGTAGCACTCACTGCAGTGGAATAATACTCATGAGACACATGATCAGTGGTGGAAGTTAAGTACTGTGTAAAAACTGAGTAAATTTTTACAGTGGATACATTTTACTTTTACTTCACTACATTTAAAAGCAGGTGTCTATTTTCTACTCTACTACATTTGTGAGCTGGACTGAAAAGTAAAAAGGACTTTTCATATGATGATTTTAGGGATTATTTGACCATGTTTGTGGTAACGTTCTGATTCAATTCAAGCTTCAGCTTGAAGCTTCAGCTTCATAAGAACAAATAAGAAATTAATTCATTCATGCTGTTAACCACAATATGTATATTTTTTTAATCAATATCATTACATTTATACTTTTACTTTTTATTCTTAAAGTACATTACTCAAGAAGTTTTTTTCCATTTATTCCAGTTTTATTTGAGTAAATTTTTACCTCTGTATCTGTATTTTTACTTAAAACTGCACTATGTAATTTTTTGGTTGGGGTCCGTCACCTGCTTGTTTCTATGAAGATGTCATTGTTCTGGCCGGAATGTTCCGCAGTGTGACATTAAACAGCTCTACTTTACATTTATTCAGTTAGAGGTGGTTTTATTGCCAAAATACTTAGAAAAACAGACGTTGTGACTGTGAGCGGGGTCACCTCTCCACAGATCTGACCTGTAACTTGGTCTGGTTTACAATACAATACAATAACAATAATAAAATCTCCATGGAGACAGGCAGTTAACGGACTCCCAACCAGAAAGTGACAGTGCTCCGTTAAGTAACAAAAATAGAATAAACAGTAACACAGAGACAATCAGATAGTTTCTCTCTGTTAGAGAAGTTACATAGTGCTTTAAACACACCCAGCACCCCTTACCTTACACCACGCTCGTCACTTCTCAGCTGATTCTTTACTTTATGACCCTCAATGAGTAAAGTTATACTGTGAGTATTATACTGTGTTGTGTGTAATGTTTTTACAGATGAAGCCAAGGTGATGCCAATGTTTGTGGTTTGAACAACTGGGAACTGCTGGTGAGATGACAAACGACACAGGGTTTCAGCTTTTCCCAGACAAAGATTTTTTGTGCATACACAAACACACAGGGTCGCTCAGACCAAAGAGTGAGTGAGTCAGTTTGTGCACCATCAAAATTAACACAGACACAATGACATGAACAGCACTAAACATTATTATAACACACTATAAAATGCTACAGTACACTGTAAAATTGTCTTCACTTCAGCATGTTACATCTTGTCTCCAGTTGTGTGAAGTAAACTGAGTAACATGAGTTTGAATATTATTGAGTACTTGAGTTTTTGAGTAACTGTTATCTGAGATGGGGACTTGGAAAAGATGTTGAAAATTACAGAAAGTGCAAAGCAAAGTTCTGTTTTTAGAGAGTTCCATATTTATGAAATCACACTGGGAGAATTTCAGCACAATTTTACACTAAAGACACACATTTTTCATTTTCACTGATTGTTTCATTTATAACATTTCAACAAAATTCAACAAAATTCAAAATTCTGAAAATTTGAACTATTCTCTTTTAAGTGTTATCCTGCAAGGTAGGGTACTGCAGGACATGACTTGGACTTGAGTCAAACTTGAGTCACACTTTTTGATAAATTTGACTCTGTTTGGACTTGAGACTTTCTTGGACTTGACTTGGACTTGACTCTGTGACTTGAAGACTTGATGCTTCTCAATAAAAAAGACAGTCGATACATGCAGTGTTTATTTTACACAAACAAACTGGAACATGTCCCTCTCACTTCTCTGTTGTTTTACTATGTGGACAGTAACTGAAAGTACTGTGATACTGGATCATCAAATGTTTTATAATATATACAGTACAATACAGTAAGTAAAAAAGAGGAAAGTACGTAGACCATGATGCATGCACACTTTTTTTTCAGATTTTTTAAACATGATTTCAACAAAATAAAGTTTTTTCTTCTATTTATGTGTATTAGTTAAATAATTATGTCTGTTGCTGCTGTGAATTATAGTTGCTTGGCAAATGTTGCAACAGTTATGGAATTCCCTTATGTGATGTCATGATTTCCAACCAGGAAGTCAAATTTTATGAAAATGGCCAAAGCGGGGGAAAAAAAAAAATTCAAACATTTTGCACTAAATTGTAAATATAATGACATTAAGTGTGTTTCAGTAAAATGTTTAGTCCAACCTGTCATACACATTTTAAAACGTGTGTCGTGAACACAGCAGCAAGTAAAGGACTTTAATGTAAAGTGTCTGATTTTTTCTGTTTTCAGGTGATTTGTGACATGACTTCAGGCGTGATCTAAACTAAATATTACATATATCAAAATCAAAACAGTAATTAAAAATACAGGAAGTTGTACTGTTTTAAAGTTGTACTATGTAACTTTTCTGGTGGAGAGTCTGCTGTCAGTTTGTCTCCATGGAGAGTAGTGCTCCTGCCTGTCCATAGACTTGGCTTGGTGGTGTTGCCTCCTTGTCTCTGTGGAGATGAAAATAAAAGTTTAATGCCATACTGTGGAACATTTCAGGTAAATAAAATCTCAAACTCAGATGAAGACCCTCCCCCCACATAATGTTACGTAATAGACCTTTAACCAGGTGTGTGTGTGTGTGTGTGTGTTTTGACTTGACCTCAGTCACGTAGAATCAGAAATAACTGGAGCAAAAGATCATCAGCCACGTAACACACAAAAAGTGCTCTATCATGATCAAACTACTGCTACTACTACTACTACTACTACTACTACTACTACTACTACTACTACTACTGCTACTACTACTACTGCTACTACTACTACTACTACTACTAATACTACTACTACTACTTTTAACCCAGTCTTCAAAAACTGCACTGTCATGATGGACAGATACAATAGATAAATACTTTATTGAAGCTTTATTAAACCACAAAATCTGCGTAAAATACTTTTACTATTTAAGTAAATTTTTAAACATGTATTTGTACTCGATTTTTTTCATGTCATGCGTCCACTTTTTTAGTATTTCTTTGCTCTGGTATCTGTACTTTTACTTAAGTCACTTCTTCCAGCACTGTTCATTCATACTTTGTGCTATTCTCAAAGCAACCACAAGAGGGTAGTATTGTCTTACTTTTCACGTCTTTATTTGTCCAGGTTTTCTGTGGTTTATAACAGACCGCAAATGACCACAACTTTTTATTCACTTAACTTTTGTTTCCTTTAATATCAAATTGCATTGTAATTATTATTACTTCTATTGCATCTCCCTACAATTTCAACAAATGCATTTTTACTCACAGCGCATTCACAAACCAACAAATTGTTAACACACAAGTTAACAAAGAAAACACAACTCCCGGTCTGTTTTTGGAGGTAATAACATTGTAACGTGACTTAAAGCTCACAAGAGTCAGTTTTGCGAAATGTTGGACCTTTAAGCAGCCGATGTCTCCAACATCTGTTTGCGTGAATTGTTGTGAACTCGGAATTATGTAACTCCTCAGGGAGCGCTCACACTTTCACACAATTGGAACTAAAGATTAGAACTTAAACTGGGACTTGCACGAAACTAAACCCGAGCTAGACCAGACCTAAACCAGAACCAGACCAGACCAAATCAACTCTGCATAGACAAACTAGTCCAAAACCAGAACCAAACCGGGATCAAGCCAGGACACATAACGCGGAAGTTGTGAGTCCGACACGGTGCAGGTAAAGGGTCATTTTCCAACATGGCAATCGTAAGCGCACTGTCAAACTGGCTTCCTCGGGTCCTTCCATTGTCTCTGTGCGTGTTTTTCTTTGCGTTTCTCGGATATTGTCTTTACATCAAATACCAGCATCTCAAATATGACCACATCCCTGGACCGCCACGAACCAGGTACGTTATGAATTACGAAAGCTGCGCGCGTAAATTTACCTAATTCTCATAACTTGCACGTTTTGTTTGTTTAAATGCAGTTTTCTCTTGGGCCATTCTCCAATTTTGGTGGAGATAATGAAAAAGGATGGAGTCGTTCATGACAAGTTTCTAGAATGGTGAGAAAAACGCAACAGTAAAAGTGTGAGTTTAAAGTGCGGGTTTTATTACAACACTGACGCACTTTGAAATGACGTTTTCTTTCTACTAACACATAAAGGTCCTTATATTACGCACAATTAACTCATTTGATGTTTAAGTCATTTTATAATTTGTAATTTTTACCTCCTCAAAAAACAAATCTGGAGTTGTATTTTGTTTAACTCGTGTTTGAGTAACTCTTTATTATTAGTCTGTCTACATCTCCAAAGCTCCAAATATTCTGGTCAACCTTGTGATGTCATG